TTGAGTCAATTGGAGGTGTACCTGTGGATGTATTTCAAGGCCTACCTTCAAACTCAGTGCCTCTTTGCTTGAAATCATGGGAAAATAAAATAAAATCAGCCAAGACATTGTGGAAGGCTACCTGAAACATTTGACCCAAGTTAAACAAAAGGAGGAATGGGCCAAAATTCACACAATTTGTTGTGGGAAGCTTGTGGAAGGCTACCCAAAACAATTTAAAGGCAATGCTACCAAATACTAATTGAGTGTATGTAAACTTCTGACCCACTGGGAATGTGATGAAAGAAATTAAAGCTGAAATAAATCATTCTCTCTACTATTATTCTGACATTTCACATTCTTAAAATAAAGTGGTGATCCTAACTGACCTAAGACAGGGAATTTTTACTAGGATTAAAAGTAATTTTATTCTGAAAATCTGAGTTTAAATGTATTTGGCTAAGGTGTATGTAAACTTCCGACTTCAACTGTAGGTAGGGGTAAAGTGACTAGGCAACAGAATAGATAATTAACAGTAGCAGCAGCATATGTGATAAGTCAAAAGAGATAGTCTGGGTAGCTATTTAGCAGTCTTATGGCTTGGGGATAGAAGCTGTTTAGTTTCCTGTTGGTTGCAGACTTGCGGTAGCAGAGAGAACACAATATGACTTGGGTAGCTGGAGTCTTTGACCATTTTTAGGGCCTTCCTCTGACACTGCCTGGTATAAAGGTCCTGGATGGCAGGGAGCTTGGCCCCAGTGATGTATTGGGCCTTACGCACTACCCTCTGTAGCACCTTGCGATCGGATGCCAAGCAGTTGCCATACCAAACAAGCGGTGATGCAGCCAGTGAAGATTTTCTCAAAGGTGCAGCTGTATAACGTTTTGAGGATCTGAGGGCCCATGCCTAATCTTTTCAGCCTCCTGAGGGGGAGAGGCGTTCTCGTGCCTTCTTCACAACTGTGTTGGTGTGTGTGGACCATGTTAATTCCTTAGTGATGTGGACACAGAGGAACTTGAAGCTCTCGTCCTGCTCCACTACAGCCCTGTTGATGTGAATGGGGGCGTGCTCGTCCCTCCGTTTCCTGTATTCCAAAAGAAGCTCCTTTGTCTTGCTGACGTTGAGAGAGAGAGGTTGTTATCCTGGCACCGTATTGCCAGGGTCTCTGACCTCCTTCCTGAAGGCTGTCTCATCATCGTCGGTGATCATGTCTACCACCGTTTTTAGGCAAACTTAATGACGGTGTTGGAGTTACGCAGTCGTGGGTGAACAGGGAGTACAGGAGGGGACTAAGCATGCACCCTGAGGGGCCCCAGTGTTGAGGGTCAGTGTGACGGATGAGTTGTTGCCTACCCTCACCACCCTTGGGCGTACCGTCAGGAAGTCCAGGACACAGTTGCAGAGGGAGGTGTTCAGTCCCTGGGTCCTGAGCTTAATGATGAGCTTGGAAGGATCTAGTGTGTTGAATGCTGAGCTGTAGTAAATTAGCAGCATTCTCACATAAGTGTTCCACTTGTGCAGGTGGGAGAGGGCAGTGTGGAGTGCAATAGAGATTGCGTCATCTGTGGATATGTTAGGGCGGTATGCGAATTGAAGTGGGTCCAGGGTGTCTGGGATGGATGGTGTTGGTGTGAGCCATGACCAGCCTTTTCAAAGCATTTCATGGCTACAGATGGGAGTGCTACAGTGCAATAGTCATTTAGACAGGTTATCTTGGCATTCCTGGACACAAGGTGTTATGGTGGTCTCCTTGAAACATGTAGGTATTACAGAATGGGTCAGGGAGAGTTTGAAAATGTCAGTGAAGACACTTGCCAGCTGGTCAGGGCATGCTCTGAGTAATCCGTCTGGCCCTGCGGCCTTGTGAATGTTAACCTGTTTAAAAGTCTTACTCACATTGGCTACAGAGAGCGTCCAGAACAGCTGGTGCTCTCATGCATGGTTCAGAGTTGCTTGCCTCAAAGTGAGCATAGAAGGCGTTTAGCTCATCTGGTGGGCTGGCATCACTGGGCAGCTCACAGCTGGGTTTCCCTTTGTAATCCGTGATAGCTTGCAAGCCCTGCCACATCCGACGAGCATTAGAGCCAGCATAGTAGGATTCGATCTTAGTCTTGTATTGACATTTTGGCTCTTTGATTGCTCGTCGGAGGTTGTAGCTGGATTTCTTATAAGCGTCCGGATTAGTTTCCCGCTCCTTGAAAGTGGCAGATCTAGCCTTTAGCTCAGTGAGGATGTTGCCTGTAATCCATGGCTTCTGGTTGGGATATGTGCGTACGGTCACTGTGGGGACGATATCATTGATGCACTTATTAATGAAGCAGGTGACTGATGTGGTAAACTCCTCAATGTTATCGAATCTGCTAGCGAAACCGTCCTGTAGCTTAGCATCCGCTTCATCGGACCACTTCTGTATTGAGTGTGTCACTGGTACTTCCTGTTTGAGTTCTTGCTTGTCAGCAGAAATCAACAGGATAGAGTTAAGGTCAGATTTGCCAAAGGGAACGTGCGGGTGAGCCTTGTATGCGTTTCTGTGTGTGAAGTAAAGGTGATCTAGAGTTTTGTTGCGTCTAGTTGCACAGGTGACATGCTGGTAAAAATAAGGTAAAACGGATTTCAGTTTCCCTGCATTAAAATCACTGGCCACGAGAAGCGTCGCCTCTGGATGTACATTTTCTGCGTTTGCTTATGGCCCTATATAGCTTAGTGCCAGCATCAGTTTGTGGTGGTAAATAGACAGCTATGAAAAATATAGATGAGAACTCTTTCCTAAATATAAATTATGGTCTGCTCTGCATCTTATCATGAGGTATTCTAACTCAGACGAGCACATTTTTTTAGACTTCCTTAACATTAGAGATCGCGCATCAGCTGATGTTAATAAAGAGACACACCCCTACCCCATCGTCTTACCCAAGGCTGCCGACCGATCTTGACTATGCGTGGAAAAAACGGCTAATTTTATATTATCCATGTCCTTATTCAGCCACGACTCCGAGAAACATAGAATATTACAGTTCTTCAGGTCCCATTGATAGGATAGTCTCAAACGGAGCTCGTCCAGTTTGTTCTCTATTGATTCGCCAATAGAACGGATGGTAAAGGCGGTTTGTTTGCTCGCCAATGTAGTCTCGTCAGGATGCCGGCTCGTCCGCCTCTCTTGCGCTGTTGTTTCCTCTTTAAAATCCCAAGGATTAGGGCATGGTTCGGAGTTAGCAGAATGTCCAGAGCTGCCGACTCATTGAAGTGTAAATAGTCATCCAAATCAAGGTTATTGATTGCTGTTCTGTTGTCCAGAAACGGTTTTTGGTCATAGGAAATGATGGAGGAGACATTATATATAAAAAAAGTTAGGATCAGTTTAAAAAACACACACAATTTATCACTGCAGCGCCATCTTTTATGTGTTTCTGTGTGCGTGTGCACGCAGAGAGGTCTAAATAACCTGTGGCTGGCGAGATGAGTAGCTACATCACTTGTCAGGTAAAAGCCTACCTCAGAACCCACAGCAACACAAAACACATCTCTAATTATAACCAATGATTCATCTGGTCAGTGATAACCTTTATTTTCAGATATTATAACTAGAGTTTTCCCTGTCAGTTTACCTTCAAAGTTATTGCCTGGCCACCATGCACTCTTAGAAAAAAGGTTATTCGTCTGTCCACGTAGGATAACCCTTTTTGGTTCCAGGTAGAACCCTTTTGGGTTCCATTTATATCCTCTGTGGAAAGGGTTCTACATAGCACCCAAAAGGGTTCAACCTGGAACCAAAAGCGTTCCACCTGGAACCAAAAAGGGTTCTTCAAAGGGTTCTCCTATGGGGACAGCCGAATAATCGTTTTAGGTTCTAGATAGCGCCTTTTTTTCTAAGAGTGTGGTGCATAACGTCATCAGTTGACCTATCCTCACAGTATCTGTATGGCCAGACATAATCTATGGGGGAGTTTTCTTATCAAAGTCCTTATAGAACAGCCTAGAAATGTAATCAAACTGAACATATTGCTAACATAACATTTGTAAGGTCTGCTTGTAGATTACTCACAAACCATTATGAAATAGTAAATTAGCTATTGGTAAACATTTTATATTGTAACTGTACAGATATAGGATCTTAATTTGAGCCAGTTTGCTACAGCAGGAAAATAATCCTGCAGCAACAGGAAATGTTAATTATTAAGTGGATTCTAATTATTAAATGTTTTGTTACGGCAAAATTAAGTTTAACATTTTTAGAAGCCTTTTTAAACCTCAAATACACCATAAGTTTGCATGTCCTGCTGTGCAGCAAAAATTATCTGAAACAAAAGAGTGCTCAAATTAAGATTCTACAACTGTAGCATACTGTATTTGGTTGGACATGAGTTGATTCCACATTTATTTTCACTGCTTCAAACTGGCAACTTCTGACATAATGTTTTACGGTTGTGGTAAGTAACTGACACTCACACAGTGAGAGAAATGTAGGATTGAAGTTTCAGTTTTAGTCATATCTTCCGCAGTAGAAACGAACACCTCTACTGTACACTATTAAATCTCCCTTAATCTTTTCAGTTAGTCAGGGTTGGGGTGTGAATTGTTTAACATCCCACTCAACCCCAATTTTCCGTTTGGGTGTGTGACACCTCTGAAAATGTCCTGCATTGCATTCTCACCTTATATTGTGCTTAGCCTCAAATGCTACATGGGGCTTTTATTCAACCCTCTTACCAACACCAATACTAAGACACAGTCATGCATTTTATCATGCCATTTCTTACCAAAACACAGCACCTCTCTGTGTGACCATCAGCACATGCATGCATTAAGCCAGTCTCTCAGTGCTACAGTTGTAGAACTAGAAATCTATGGCTACAGTAATCTCACTCACCACCACCATGGAAACCTGTCCTGTCACCAGTGATGAGAGAAAGTGAGAGTGGGGGGAGACAGTTAGGGGGGTCTGTGGGAGGAAACCAGACTCTGATGCTGTCTGAGTGTAGGAAAGTATTTGTGTATGGCCATGTGTCTCTCTGCATATGAGTGTGTGGTGTTGGTGGGCTTAAAAAGAGCTCCAGTTCTGGTGAAAGTCGCACGTCTGAAAAACTCAGAGCGAGCGATTCAGACAGAATGATGGGCCTCCTCTCTCTCCTGCTCCTCTTCAGCACAACTCTACTGATGTCCACTTCTTCTTCTCATGGTGTGTGTGTATTCTCTTATCGTACATTGTATCAGATCGTGTCAGATTTCACTTAAGATGCTGTTTGTTTTAGCATAGGAAGTAAATTGATGATACAAATTGATGATAATGATGATGATGATGGTGATGATTATGTTAAAATCCTTGAAAATTACGCTTTTTAACTACAATGTAAATGGATGATTATGATGATGATGATGAACATGATGATGATGAACATGATGATGATGATGATGAACATGATGATGATGAACATGATGATGATGATGATGATAACTCTTCTCTCGCTTGTAGCCAGTGGAGCAGCAGCCCTGTGCTGCATGGAGTTTAAAGGCACTATGGTGCGCCGTGACCTGGTCAAGCGCTACTACCTACAAGACACAGCCCTGTGTAACATCAAGGCAGTAACGTAAGTGCTCATAACCGTTCAAAGGTGTTTATTTGAGCTGTTGTGAATGTTTCAATAGTCAAGCAGTGTACAGTATATAAATGCACTACGGGGGATAGAAGGCACTATGATGCATTCATAATGCATTACATACAGGGGCACCGAATTCATGGAAAGTGTTAAAGTATTGATTGTGTGTCTCTGTTGTGACCATTCTCGTTATCCACCCCAGGTTTGTCACAGTGAAAGGTATACGAATCTGCTCTGACCCTTCGAACCCCTGGGCACAGAAAACCATGCAGTACCTGCACAAGAAGAACAAGCCTTACACACCGAAAAAACATCACATCACATCAACTACTACTACTACTACTACGACTACCACCACCGCACAACCAGCAAAAAACAACCCTTACAAAATAACATTTTCAGCTCACAACCCAAAAATTGCATCTCAATGGCCAACAACTCTCACCACAAGACAATGAAGAACATAGCATTTTCCAGTTACCTCATAGTAAATCAGACTATTGAACATTCTCAAAATGCAGTGTTCATAAACCTTTATATATTTTTTATTTTTATTTTTTTTACAATGTACAATATTTATGTCACTTTAATGAGTATCTGGTTACAATTTATTTGGATAGTCCGGATAGTCCATCTGTAGATATTTTAGATGGTCATACTATCAACAAACTATATTTTGATAAGCAAGTGGTTGCTAAGGTTACGGTTAGGGTAAGGGTTAGGTTTAGAATAAAGGTTAGGGTAGGGGTTAAGGTTAGGGCTAGGGTTAAGGTAAGGGTTAAGTTTAGGGTTAGAATAAGGGTTAAGGTTAGTGCTAGTGCTAGGGTTAGTAGATAGTTAGTTTAAATGTTACTGATAGTCTGTAGATATAGAGCATCTACAGATGGACTATCCTGAATATCTTAATATATTTATACATTAATAAATCAAATTCACTTCCACTGTAAATTGAATGATTGTGATCGTGTTAACTTGCTGACTATTTGCCAGTATGCCTGAATAATGTATAATGTTTCCTAATAAAATAATCGTTTTTTGGTTGATTTGTTGTCCTTGTGGTGAAGGTTCTTGTGCAAAATGGCTGCCAAGCATCACCCTTATGGGTGCCAGACATTAGTAATGGATGCGCACTGTACAATATCATGTTAGGTCCTTTAATACTCTTAGTAAAATTAAAGTTATATAAATGCAACCCATTCTAATGATTAATGGAGTTTAATTGTAAAGAAAAGCAGAAGGTGACATTTTCTGCTGGCTACTGCAGGTGACTACTATAGGTATATTAGTCACTTTGCTTGTTTCACTGATGACCCATAAGACCCATAAGTTCAGTGGACATCACATCTGGCCATGCTACAAAGGACACAAGGATAGACGCAAATGTTACACAAATGCTACTAACCCATAACTTGAACTATAACCTTACCCTGTATCTGAGCTTTAAACCTAATTTGAAACAGGGCAAGTTGCTCATGTAGTTGCTCATCAGTTCAGAAAATATTGACACTATTGTCCAGTCTTGCATGGCCACATAGTGATCACTGTGTTACAATCATAAGGTTAGAACAAGAAAATGAATTCTAGAATTAGACTAGGAATTCTGTTTCAATGGTTCCAAGCCCCCTCCCTGATGTGATGGTCAGTGGTTCGCAGAGGGAAAGCTATGGGGGACTCAACATAACTACAGTCTGCATGTTGTTTCCACCATATCACCATATACACATACACGTGGCTGGAGCTCCAGTGGAGCAATCGGTTAGCATGTGGTGTACTTACTAACATGTAGCTGTAAATAGGTTACTACATGTGGGAGGAGAGAAAGTTATGGGTCTATTTCTGTTATCCGTGGGGTTTTTGGGGGATTGGCCGTTGTGGAGTTAATATGAGTGTTTGAGGTATAGTGGATTTTCTTGTATGCCACAGCGGGGTTTCCCCTCCCCTCTGAACACCTCCATTACTGTTCCACTGCTCCATTACAAGTCACATCACTCTGTGCACTATGAATACTATTATGTGTATGTTTGTTTGTAAGTCACACAACATAGTGACAGACATTAACATTCTGTATGTGTTAACAATGAGTTTCTTTTGATAAAAGCATCTGCTAATATTACCATATTATTGTATTGTATAATTCCTCTTGTATGCAGAGTGTCCTCCTTGGGTGTCTTGAAAGGCACTTAAAGTAAATTGTACCTTCATTATGACGCTTATTATTAATGATACACATTTACATAAAGCCACTCACTCTGGAGGGAGATTAGAAAACAATCACTTGTTGATACTACAATGCCGTTAGCAATGATTAGGACTGCCTTTATTGCTTTTTCTAAGCGATATCTTTATTTTACAATTAGGCTATAAGAGTTTGTTTGAGACTGGTCTGTTTTCCAAAGGGATGAGAGTCTGATTTTGAGTCTGAGTCTTTGCTGCTGCTGTACCTGTATCTCTAGTTTTGCTTGACTGGGGTGCCAGGCCTGTCTCATCTCCAGTACAGTAAAAGGTGCCAGTCAAAGAATAACCTCAGATTCAATCTCTGTAAACAGTGCACTTGTCACGATCGTCGAACACAGAGGACCAAGGCGCAGCGTGGAATGCGAACATACTTTTATTTTTAATGATCACACGAACAAAACGATACGTGACATCCTTGGCAATAGACACTAACCAAACACGGAACAAGAACCCACAAACACTGTGGCAAAACAGGCTACCTAAGTATGGTTCCCAATCAGAGACAACAAGCAACAGCTGATTCACGTTGCCTCTGATTGAGAACCACACCAGCCAACATAGAAACAAATGAACTAGATAAACAACCTAGCACACAAAACACATAGAAACAACCCACCCTGGCTCAACATAACAGAGTCCCAGAGCCAGGGCGTGACAGTACCCCCCCCCCCCCAAAGGCGCGGACTGCGACCGCGCCAAACATAAACCGAACAGGGGAGGGCCGGGTGGGCATTCCTCCTCGGAGGCGGTTCCGGCTCCGGGCTTGACCCCCACCCTCCAACAAACCCCCCATAGCGCCCCTGGTTCGGTCTGGCCCTGCTGGCTGGATCTGGACTGGACATCGGTGGAGCGTATCGCTCAGGCTCCGATGTGGAGCAGCTAACCAGGCACCGGACCAGGCACCGGTGACCCAGGCACGGGCTGTGCCGGGCTGACGAAGCGCACCACTGGCTTGGTGCGGGGAGCAGGAACGGACCAAAACGGGCTGACGACGCGCACCACTGGCTTGGTGCGGGAAGCAGGAACGGGCCGGACCGGGCTGGCGACGCGCACCACTGGCTTGGTGCGAGGGGCAGGAACAGGCCGGACCGGGCTGGTGACGCGCACCACAGGCTTGGTGCGAGGGGCAGGAACATGCCGGACCGGGCTGGCGACGCGCACCACTGGCCCTACGCGGGGATCAGGAACGGGCCGGACCGGACTGGCAACACACCCCAGTACCTCTCGCCGTGCCTCTACATTCTCCTTCCCCCTGGTGACCAGTGACTCCCGTAACCTGGCGGCCTCCTTTGCCAACCCGCTGAACCACTCTATCCCGGCCTCCTGCTGCCCCGTCGTCCACGGCGTGAGCCCCCCCCTAAAAAATGTCTGGGCGTCTTCCTCCCCGTGGGCCAGGCCTCCATGGCTCTCGCCAGACTCTCGCTCCTTTGCTCCCAAGTCCAGCCTCTCTCCTCCTCACGCTGCTTGACCCAGTCGAAGTGGACATCCATCAGAGTCACCTCTGGCATTGGCTCCTGGACACGCTGTTTGGTCCAGTTGTGGTGGGATCTTCTCCTCGGTCGTCGAACACAGAGGACCAAGGCGCAGCGTGGAATGCGAACATACTTTTATTTTTAATGATCACACGAACAAAACGATACGTGACGTCCTTGGCAATAGACACTAACCAAACACAGAACAAGATCCCACAAAAACTGTGGCAAAACAGGCTACCTAAGTATGGTTCCCAATCAGAGACAACAAGCAACAGCTAATTCATGTTGCCTCTGATTGAGAACCACACCGGCCAACATAGAAACAAATGAACTAGATAAACAACCTAGCACACAAAACACATAGAAACAACCCACCCTGGCTCAACATAACAGAGTCCCAGAGCCAGGGCGTGACAGCACTGTAAAAAAGAATACAGTATGTTTATTCAACATACAATTATAAGGCATCCAGCTGCAGTAGGATTGTGAGTTTGCGCAACAAAATAACATTCAAGTTGATACAACGTACAATTGTATGGCAACCAGCTGCAATAGGATTAAGAGTTTGCTTAAAATTTGAGCATATAGCTGAACCAACATACATTCTCAAGTTGAATTGTATGTTCACTCAACTTAGAATTGTTGGTTTAGTGAACATACAATTCAACTTCAGAATTTATATTTGCATATTTCACAGTATAAAATTACTCTTTATGTAAGAATTTCACTGTACTGTTTTACACCTGTTGCATGTGGCTAATACATTTTGAAAACTTGAAACAATACATTACATACAGTGGGGAGAACAAGTATTTGATACACTGCCGATTTTGCAGGTTTTCCTACATACAAAGCATGTAGAGGTCTGTCATTTTTATCATAGGTACACTTCAACTGTGAGAGACGGAATCTAAAACAAAAATCCAGAAAATCACATTGTATGATTTTTAAGTAATTGATTTTAAATTAAATTTTACTCAACATGTTTGTTCAAATTCAGCTCACTTTGAGCAGTGTTTGTTGATTCAACAACCAATTGTAATGCAACCTGCAATAGGATTGTGAGTTTGTTCAACATTTGGGCATATTGCTGAACTAAGATATAGTGTTGCCTTCCAAAGGCAAACATGAATTTGGAATTTTACTCAACAAGCTTCTTCAAATTCAGCTCACTTCGAGCAGAATTTGTTGAGTCAAATTCTTGTCCATTTAAAGTCCATTCAACTCACAGAATAACGCTGACTAGGCAATTGGTTAAGTTGGCTTTTTTACAGTGTGTTAAACTTGGAATTTGTGTCACACATACAGTATCATGTGTGTGTGAGTGAGGGTGTGTGTGCATGCGTGTGGTTCAGCAGGAAGCGATGGAGAAGTTCTCTGTGGTCTGTCAGTCAGAAGGGGATAGGTTAGGACTCCTACTAGTGTTACGTTCTCCACCACAGTGTCAGAATCAGATGCTCCCACTAAATGTATCAACTACTGTGGTGAACACATTAGCCACCATGGGTATGTAGGCTACATGTTAGCCACCATGGGTATGAGGCTACATGTTAGCCACCATAAGTAGGTTAGCTACAATTTAGCCACCATGGGTAGGTAGGCTACATGTTAGCCACCATGGGTAGGTGTGCTACATGTTAGCCACCATGGGTATGTATGCTACATGTTAGCCACCATGGGTAGGTTTGCTACATGTTCGCCACCATGGGTAGGTTGGCTACATGTTAGCCACCATGGGTAGGTTG